CGACAGGGCATTCATGAAACCTGTCAGTTAAATTGATTTCGAAACAGCATATCAGTGCTTTCGGTTTGTGTGCCGTCGTGGGTTTCCAAAGCGAACTTCAACAAGTGTGAGGTTATTCCATTGAAATGGAGACCTATTAATCAAGTACGACGAGATGGCACCATGTGAAAGCCATTTAATGTAAAAGAACAGGTGAAAAGCACACCAGACTTCACAAGTTCATGAAGTGTTTTTTGGGACAGGCCGATCAACATAGTCTTTAAAAGGAAATTGAAATTAATCGCACGACACGACAATTTGCATCGACAGTTGGCTCGCTTCAAGTTACTCTACCTGAGCAGCAGTTCGTTGAAGTATGGACATATTCGGTTTCAGGCTGTTGCGCCGTAGGAATTGAGAGGAAACTGGCTAACAGACCGATATTCCTGAATTAATCCGAAATTCATATGTGAACGAGGGATTTTCCACTTCAGATAAACCATGGTGTCAGGCGGGCCGAGTTGTGGATTAAAAATCCAGCGTTTGATAAAACTGAGTTTAAATAAGGCCACGAATAGATGGAGCATATCCACATAGTTCGTATAAACGGTAATAATCTGGAGTATTTAGCCCGCAAAATGGTGACTAGGCACCAGTAACCTGAATTACTATAACCTCCTTCCACTTTAATCCAGAGGAATCAGAAGAATGCACAATGGGGTAAATCTGACACTATTGTGAACGATATTTAAGGATATGTAGTATTAGAAGATATTTAGGTGGTGTTTCGCTTATCGCAGTGAGAGAGAGACTGAACACATGTTCCATGTTTTCACTCGCTCTTCACCAGAACATTGTATTCACCCGTGAGCTTGAGCAGAACAAGTCGAAATACCGACATTACTGCCTCACTTTGTAAATGAGAAACCTACATGGACTGAGGAATAGCTAGAGTTTACAAGTTTCTGTCTGTTACGGTACAAACATGCGTTCGTATACAGGTCTGCATCTCGGATATGCTCGCAGAGGAAAGAAGCACACGCTTGAAAACTCTGTGCCAGGTAAGCAGATCCTAAATGCAAATGGAATCCAGGGTCAAATCTTCAATCGCTAGGCATCTAATCAATGCAGGTCGCAAAGTAAAACTTGACTCATAGTTCCAGGTCTTAGCACGAAGCAGGTGACAACAGAGGTTGAAGTTCTTTGAAGCCTTATTGACCAACCACTTTAAGCCTGTTCTCTTACACCAGAAAGACCTAATGTTCACCCTGAACCTGATTTGATTTTATTGATCAGTCACGTGGCTTCAGAACTAGTTACTTGTCGTAGGTTGCTTTGGATTACGTATCCTATGCCGTTTTTTCGTTTTGTGGCGGAAGAGAGTAGACAGAATGAATTCATTCAGCAACTGTGTTGTTCTCACTACCTATATCATACAGGAGACCTTATGGGGTACGGTAGCCTCGGTCTTGTGACTTGTTGATGCCACAGGTGCACTGCCACCAGGCGGCACGTGAAAGTGGTGCATTTTTTTCAGAGAAGCGAAGTAACTTATGACGTACCCTTGAAGTAAACGAACCCCAAAAACTGCTGCTCTATAAACAAAGTCAGGTAACGCCCATTACAGTAATCATGGTGAGACCATCGCGCCATGAAAACAGTAGGTCTCCCACGGGGAAGTAAGACTGAATGCCAGGAAACCAGTCAGAATTTCGAGCGCGGGCACAAACCGATGCTGCCCATATAAGCACCCTGTAACTAGTAACTGACAACCACGATTGTTAGGGCTGCTTAGCAAATGCAATGAGATCGGTTTGTCGAAAAGTAGCCTGAGTTAAAATCGGCCTGAAGATTGTCAATTTGTCGAAATATAGGTACATCGGGTGTGTTTACTGGTGGCTGATCGGATGCAGTTGGTCATGTTAGGGCTGCTTAGCAAATGCAATGAGATCGGTTTGTCGAAAAGTAGCCTGAGTTAAAATCGGCCTGAAGATTGTCAATTTGTCGAAATATAGGTACATCGGGTGTGTTTACTGGTGGCTGATCGGATGGCAGTTGATCCGCAAAGCTCGGCGACCAGATCAACTGCCATCCAATCAGCCACCAGCCTGAAGATTTTCACATGACCACAGCACTACCCCCATTTTTCATCTTACAGATGTCAATGGAATTAGCAGCTGAGTGGATTTTTCTTGATCAGTTTTTGTAGTTGATTCCAGTCTACGTTTCACGTCATGTAAACAATTAGACAATAATACATGGTAGAGGAGACGGTAGACAGTTAAAACAATCTTTCAGCTATAAACCGTGTGTGTGCCACACGCAGAATGGTTCCAACTGTTACAGTTTCGACCATTGGGAGAGTGGGGGACATACAGCCAAGCCTTGGAGGTGGTGATATATTTGGATAGTTCGGGAACTCGGTAGTTACGCTCCGAAGGCGATAGCTTTGATGCATGAGCGCCACTGATGGCGCTATTGGGCCATTTCTGCGGGCGTCAATAAGCATTGGTGAGTTGAGTCCCATAGTCCTCATCCAGGGAGGCGGTAGTTGTCGACCCGACTAGTGTTTTCATACTTCTTTACAAGGTCATAAACTGCCCACAATTCGGTTGCTTCCCCTGAACACAGCGCTGGGCGAAATGAGCTCTGCGAGTCACACGGTTCTCCTGCATGCGGAGTATATGTCCTAACCAGCATAATCTATGGGGCGTGAGTAATTCAGCTATTGCGGGAGAACTCCTTCTTAGGATCATCTGGCTTACCTCAGCATTACTAATTCGATCTTCCCAACAGACCCGACAAGTCCTTCGGAAACACTGGTTTCCAAGCACTGTCATTTTTCGAAATACACCCATCTGCAAACTAATTTGGTTTTGCGAGAGACTCACCTAGAACCCAGCTGAATCTCTCGGTTTTGATGTTTCCAGTCATTTTTCGTACGTCCTCTGCGCGTAGAGGCAACCTCTCTTATCACAACGGCATTGCAAACTCTGCCGTTGGCAGACAAACTCACATCAGGTCAGCGCCCTAATTGTTTGAGATTGGCAAAAACTGCCCTATCATCACCAGTCAGTTCTCCGGAACTTATACAGCTGCCCAGGTGAACAAATTTATCTACCACGTCGATTGGCTCATCTGCAAGCATGAATTTGAGTTTGATCCACACAGTCTTGTAGCAGCACTTTACACTTTGCAGGTGTACACCGGATGCCAAACCGTGCTGCAGAGTTATTTAGTTTACTTAAAATTCTTTGAACTTTTGAAGGACCTGAACCAACGAAAGCAAAATCGTCTGCATACTCAATACAGGTGAACAAACGTCCCGGGAACGCTTCGATCCCCGAGGTTCCGGACGCAGGCATAGAAATTTCCAGCGGTACATCAAAGCAAAACTGAAGAGGAAAGGTGAGAAAGTGCATCTTTGTCTCACACCACTGCACGTGGTGAACTCAGGCGAAAGTTTGCTGTACACCTGTACGCGCCCACAGGAGTTCGCACAGTGCCATTATAAGGAAAACGAATTTGGGACACCTATGATTGCCAGACGACAGTGTCAAAAGCAGACTTCAGATGAAGAAAAACGATTAACGTGGAACGTTTGAAGCAGTGGCGCTGTTCAACACCGTCTCAAGGTAAGGATATAGTCGATGCATCCTCGACCAGAGAGAAACCCAGCTTGATTCTCACGAGTCTCTCTCCCGATAATCCATCAAACTGCGCAAAATAGTGCCAGAGAGCACCTAAGATGCGATGGATACCACGCTGATCCCATGATGGTTTTCGCATGACGTTCTTGTACCCTTTTTGAAAACTGGGATGACGTTCGAGGAGCTTTATTAGGCTGGCATTCTGTTTTCGTTCCAAAACTTCTGCAGTATGAATCAGCAGGACCTCACTACACTCTGAAAAGCGCGGGTATAGACCATCTGCGCCAGGTCGTGTTTGAGGATTGATTTCTCACCATGGATTTCCATTGTTGATGGTGGGATGGTGTCGATATTCTATTCAGGTCCCCTGCGTTCTTCCAGCAGGTTTTGAAGAAGACCAGATGAACTATTCTTTGAGGTGTTCAGCCGATCACTCAAGACGACTGTTCCATCTTGTTCACACATTGTTTCACTGACAACTGATTTCTTTCGACCCGTTGATCAAATCAGCTGAAACAGTACACGGCTGTTGACTCCAGCGAAATCCTTCTCCATCTCCTGGGGCTTCGAAATCTACCACCGTTCTGCCATTCTTCAAGCTCCCGATTATCCGGTGTTTGAGGGATCTGCGTATGCCATGAAAGTCACTGGTTGCTGGTATAACCTTTCTGGCAATAAGATCTGCTCATTTGGTTGGGTTTGATGGCTTGGATAGAGGGTTCTGAAAGCTCACAGCATAGTTTCTTTAACTCGTCCATTCATCCTTCAAGAAATCTCCACCAACTGTTCATCCAGTAGCTTTATAGCCAGTTCAGCTCGATACTCTTCAGCTACTGAAACTTGTCGAATTTGATGGACGGAGCCGCTCTCCTTTGGCACGCGTCATTCAAACGAAAATACCATGATCAAAATCAAGCTCCTTACACCAGAAGGAAGGACAATCCTTAAATGACACTCCCCATCAGTAACTGATAGCCACATGGTCCAGTCGAGTTCACGATTGTCTTATGGTAGGTGGTCTCCAAGTAACTATACGTGAGCGTTTGTATTGGAAGTTCGTACTGGCCAGGAACACAATGATCTATGCACAACTGAAGCAGTCGCTCCAAGTTATCCATACATTGAACATCGACCCCAAATTCATAGCCCTAATGCGCTTCTTCCGGACTTGTTCGTCCAACTTAGGCATCTTAAGTCCTAGAGTGAAAACGAGAGAAAAAGAGTGGGTGAGGCAGGGGACCTAGTGCTGGCCTATGTCAAGCATACTGAGGTGCCTACACCTCCAACCGCTCAATCAGACAATCTGGAAAGAAACTGACAGTACGAACGCCACTGACATCGATTAGCCGCCATTTCTTACACCGACTTCAGCTAAGCACAGGCAGGGTCACGGGGCCCACATCCTGGAAGGCGCACAACACCAACAACATACAAACTCTTCGTGATCTCTTTCACGCCTTTCTGGACTTCTTGCTGACCGAAGCAGTCGGGACGGATCTGTCGGGGCGTTTGCCAGTAAAACGACCTGTATTGATCTAATTGAGCCAGACAACCACACAGCGCAAAAATGACCGTTTACTGGGATGCACTCCAGCAAGGAGCTTTCAGCTTCGGAGCTGAATGCAACTTCCACACCGTAGTTACCACGCGCTGTTGCGTCAAGATCACCAGATACCCGAAGAGCGAAATCTGGAGAAAATTTGAGCTTGTCCAAGGCGGCTTGAGGAGCACGACCGAAGTGAGGTCTTGTTTCGCAAACACGATATTCATCAACAGATAGGGAAAGCAATGTTTCAGCAACAGATGCCTGTTTCCTAATTGGACATAGAGTATGGGTATTAAAGGCTGCAATGTGGGCTAGATATTATGTGCTTAGTATCTGCCATCCCCTTAGGAGACCCAGTCCGGAGTCAATGGTTTAATTGTCTGACCCACTTGGCTGCAGGAGGCCTGTCTGGCCCGAGGACGCACGGAGTAAGGCATTACTGTCTCACTCCTAATGCAGCTGCACATAGCGGTGCCTTTTGAGCAGCACCGGAGTCTCTGGTTTCAAAAGGGTTTCGGTCGTATTGAATAATACACCAGCCGTCACGATCAACCGTTGGGCGATCGGAGTGGTGGAAACGCCTTATTGCCTTCACACCACTAACCCAGAGGTAAGTGCGACTTTACCCTGCGACTTCACAAACCGCTTCGTATTACGAATACTCGCTTTTCTTCGTCGAGCTGTTCTCCATTGGCCTCCCTGGCATGGTCGAATCTTTCGGGACTGTGTTGAAGCCAGTATAACCCGCAGGATCATTGCAGCACAGAAGCTCGACCACAATGACAAGGTGACAGCTTAAGGTCGGGGGTCAGACGATAAGTCGATCAATCAGTGAAATCTGTGATTCCCAAAGCCACACACGCACACACACCACGGGGTGACAGAACTGAATGTACAAAATGGGTTTAGTCAGAGATTTGATGAATATGGAACATTCGGATCGCTCAAAAAATCGTGACAAAAAAACGACAGCGGTACAAAGAATGGCAAATTCGACTGCGCACGGGAAAAAAAACACGTCGATGATCTCTGTAAAACACAATTCGCATAAAGGTACAATAAGTGTACGAAAAGCAAACAAGATTCAGCCAATTCCCAGGGGCGATTTGGGACGGAAAGATTGAAAACGGGTTATCTGAAGTGAGTTCGCAGAGCTGACCTCCGTTCGTTAAACGAGACCAAACGTCCCAGACAATGGGAAATCAGCTAAAAACAATATAACGGAAATGTTTGATGTGGAGCTGAATGAGGATGCAGAGGTAACTAACAGAAAAGCATATACCAGAACAACAAAACGTTCGATGCTGGTTTAGGTTTCATGAAGACTGATCAAACCTGAAGATTAATTAAGCAAAACCACTATTTACAGCAGTCACCGGAGTTCTAAACAAAAAAGTAAGTGTTCGCCTGTCCCTAGGAACAGTAACGGGGGCCAGATGATTCAAGTGGCTAGAGCGCGGAATTACTGACCGGGAGGTCCGTGGTTCGAACCCGACCTCTGCCTCTCGACTTCCTCCTGTCTAGGCTCGGGCAACCTGAGAGTACCCCAGTCCTCGTGCTTCCTTTGGGTAGCATGGAAGCTAGGCACCGAAAGGGTGTTATTAGAGTAACAGTAACACAGTAACACATGAGTACGTAACTGCCGTGTAGTCACGTACATTTTGTCGGGAACATCATAAAATAGGTAAAACCATTTTGTGGCAATCGATTTCTGAGGTGCGCACGTCTCCGAACACACTCGAGCAATCTAGGTACAGGCTGATAGCAAGGACAGCCTAAAGCCATATTCCGCAGTGTTTTCAACCAAGCACGCAGCCATGAGAACGTAAGCCGGGATGGCGGATAGCGTCGACAAAAACCGGACTAGCCGAAAACCGCCTCGACGAGTAAATAGGCCCACTTACAATGTCATAGAATATGTATGGCGGCAACGAACCAATCCACCTCTGGAGCTAGGTGGAGTCGTGTTCACTGTTAACCACAATCACCTGAATCCGGAATTTGGAATCACTTGCATTTAAAACATCTGTTCCATCATTGGATTGCACAACACCGGTTTAACGTACGGAACGTGTCACTATCACCACCACGACATTGACAGCAGATGGCAAGGAAGAGCACTCAATTGGGAACCGGACAGAGTATATACAGTAGCTTCTTTTTTATTTAGAATAACTCAGGAGGCCACATGCATCAAGGACTATCAACCATCCTAACTTAGACTAGGAAAAACAACTGCTGTTCTCCGTTGTTTTCTACAGTCACCTCAGCTTGGATGTTAGTCATCACATTCACGAACGTCGTCGTGTACAGTTGGCTAAATGCTGTAAACTTCTGTCCACGCCACAAGTTGTTCTCGGTGAGTGTCCTTGAAACATAAATACAATACGCTCTGCTAAGGAAGCACCTTCGGATAAAATGTATCGCCGATGAGAGAGTTCCTTCGTGGGAGAGGCGATTACACCAGGGCCTTCTTGAAAAGTTAGTAAACTTCAGTTGAACTCCGGGTTTCCTGATAGGCATTTCTTTGTGCGTAGTAAATTGCGGACGGTTCAGGTACTCCAGATTATAATGAACCGGCGATCGCGACATACAAGCGCAATACGTTAGTACCACCTAATGGTCCTCCAGTCCTATTCGTCTAAGTCACCCCCCAACGATACATTCAGTGACGTTGAGCTAAAATTGAGTGAGAACCACCTACATTCCAGCTTCATTTACTTCAATCCGTATCGCGAGGTTTTTAACATACGGCGTTATGAGCGTATCCTGGACTAAATTATCTATCAAGTTAAGTCACTTCTAAGAGTCCCCTGATAGTGTGCCAGCAGAAATTATGGCATCGGTCACCTACTGAGTCAGCAGTTGCATTTCTCCACCAGGGAAAAGCGATGGGAATTCCCCACAACCAAAGTTGTTTCCTCGAAAGGAGTGTTTGCTCATGAAAGGAGTGGAGTGCTGATCGTCACCAGCCAGTCACTTACAAAAAATATAAGAATGAGGAAAATATAAGCCCCCAATAATCCCCTGCCAGTGAAAAGCAGCCACTAGTATTTCAGGCGATTGAAGATATTCGAGGATGTCATGATGTGAACGGTGATGAGCAGAGCACACTTTCTGGGACTGTTCATTTTTGCGAATTCATCACAAATTTATACGAGACTAGACAAGAGTCGTACGCGCGGTTAGATGCATTCACGCACACAAATGTAAAAAAGGACAGGGCAAAAAGATCGAGGGGTCGCGGTGATAAGCGGATTACGTCACAATTAAGCTCATAGGTCCGCACATGTTCAAAAGAAGCGCAAGATTTCCCGAGCAGATTTCTGGAAGCCCCCGTCAGATTCCGATAGTCTCTGCAGCTATCTAAACCGTACTAAAAGTGACATATTCGATGGTACCCGGTATGTGGATTGGAAGATACTGTCTGTGACATCAGCAGTTTCAGTCAAATACTGGGTACGAAGAGAAGCTGTAACAACCGTAGGCTATCGGCATCAATATCACAAGTGGAGAAAACATCGGCGCTAAAGAAGGTCTGACCGACGTATCGCCTTCAGTAAATCCGATGCAGGTTATTACAAAGCTAGCTCACATGTGGCCTGAAGCGAAGAAAACAAGGACCTTATTAATTTTACCTCACGTAACATGCATAAGACAGGAAACGCGAACATATCAAGCAACTTACCATCATAAGGAACGTCGGGTTCAGATAAGCGGGTCATAGGACCAGCTAATCAGCTTTAACCTGTTTCCGACTTTTGGCGATGGCAGCGCTTCGTTTTGCTTTCAGCTTCTTTTCCATCTCCTGTTTTTTCAGCTCTTGAGCGAGTTTATAGGCACAAAACGCACCGAGCATGAACAGTGGGGTCAGGATCATCAATACGGTGCCGAAGAAACCCCACGGATCTTTAGCAACATAGACCGTGAACTGCGGACAGCGAAACGAGGGATAAATAGCGATTATCTACATGCATGTGTATCATATACTGAACACAAAAGCAAAAGCAGTACGCATCAACAATCGAACGAAAACAATAGGAGGAAAAGTTGAAATCTGAAAGCGTTTACACACGGGATTACGACAAAACAGTAGCACGTGTTCGCCATTAGGCGCGATTCCTAGGCGACGATCCTAGCCAAGTACCACCCCTGTCTTTTGGAGTCCAGTCGGGAAGCTGACAAGAACCGACAGAGGAAAGTCAATGTGTGGGACACCAAGTCAGTCTGACCGTTTCGATATCATCTTCATCCTTCGCTCGGTTCTGCAAAAGTAGCACGCCGTAGACGCCGTTGGAAACCATCTTCAATACATTTTCTCATTTTCATCTTCATCCTTCGCTCGGTTCTGCAAAATTAGCACGCCGTAGACGCCGTTGGAAACTATCTTCATTACATTTTCTCATCAGTATATACGACATCGGCATTATTCACCAACTGCTGTCTATTAGGAATATTCTTCCGTATAAAAATACCGTCACTACAAGTTCTCTGAGTGTATCAGCTCCTAGATCCAGTACAAACACAAGCGGCTGTGATTTGGTCGTTATTCGTTTGTGGGAGGCAGCCTGATGCGATGGCAGGCAAAAGGACTGCCGCATTTCACGATGCAACAAAGATGAGTAATCGAGAGTTTCTATTTCGTGGACCGAGATTGCTCACTGGTTAGAGCGCGAATGTATTGACTGGAAGGTCCGTGGTTCGAAGCCAACCTCTGCATCTCGACTTCTTCTGTCTGGGCCTAGGCAACCGGGTAGTATCCCAGCCACCATACTTCCTTCAGGTAGCATAAGAGCTAGGCACCGAAAGGGTGTTGCAGTTGAGCGATAAGATCCCGTTAAGAGTGACAAGAAATAACTACTCGGTGGAGTAAATTCAATGTTCCGATGGGTGACATAGCAGTAATGACCATGCACTGTTAGATACAGATGGAGCCTGCTTATCAAAGCGATCTAAGATGAATTGCTATGGGGCACTGGAGCAGAGGTCACAAATTTAGCCTACTGCTACTACACTTGTGCACCTGCACAGACGTTGTCACGGTTAAACAACGTGAGTAGAATTATCATACCTTTAAGGCCATGTAGGCGAACCAGCCTTTCCAGTCCTCAGGTGGATCACCCAAATCCAGCGAATCCAGGGAAGGGGTTTGTTTTACATTTTCGGTCGGAAGAGAATCCATCTAAATAGAAGAGGAATACAATCAAACAAAGCCGATGGACGGGTGAAGTCAACATTTCTGACCACAATAAGCTGTAACTACCAACTACCCCATACGTAGCAGCCCAAAGACCTTGCTGAACTGGAGTACAACAAGCCACAACCACAGATACCAGGCGAATTTATTATGTGATACTGCATACACACCAGTAGACTGACTCAGCCCCACTTAGCGACTGTTCGGCACAAAACGATAACTAGCCAGGAATTCTGCTCTTATCAGAGCACAGCACCAGTGCACAATTACTTTCGCAAGGGTCGTCTGAACTCTGGTTAGCTGATCTGAGGCAACCGCTACGAACAAGACGCGGAAGACGTGCCTCGTCAGTGTAGATTACCGAACGTTTCGGACGAAGGCAAATTAACCGCCCTGTTTGTCCCAATCGATAAACAGCAAACTAGCCTAATGCAGTGAACAACCTGAATAATTTTAAGTCAAACAGGTTCGCTTTCTGTAGCCTAAGACCCAAGAGCAAAACTGCGACTGAGAAAGTTATCAGCCACAATCGGCTGTAAACCACTGTGTAAAACAGGTGTTCCGATTAAGACAGCTGCGTTCACTGATACCGGTGGAAATAGGGAATATGAAGATTATGAACTGAGAACGAAACCTGCGGTGCACATGCCATTCGGTGTGTGGCTAGGTCGCACCCACCAGTGCAGTAGACCACCAATGGAACCATCATTATCACTCACCACTGTGTTGTAGTGATCCTGCGGGCTATTCTGGCTGCAACTCAGGTCCCGAAGGTTTAACATCCAGGAAGGTCAACAGGGTGCAGCCAAACGAATATAATCGAGTCCTCGCACTGCGAGTATTCGTACGAAACGTTCTGTAGGTAACCACTACTGTCCTTTGGGTTATTAGCGTGAAGACATTAAGGTGTTGCCACCAGGCGACCAGCATGTCCGTATTTATGGAAGCAGTGATGCTGCCTTCCCCTGACGAAGGACGGACCTAAAAACTACACACTCCGATCGCCCAACGGTTGATCGTGACCGCCGGCCCATTATTCAATACAGTCGAAATACTTCAAAAGCCAAAGTCCGGTGCTGCTCAAAAGGCACCGCTATGTGCAGCTGCATTAGGAGTGAGACAGTAATGCCTTACTCCGTGCGTCCTCGGGACAGATATGTCAGATACGGCAGTGAAGCATCGGTGCTGAACACTGATGTCATGCTGTCGATGATGATGGGATAGGCCTCCTGCAGCCAAATGAGTCAGAAAATTAAGTCATTGGCTCAGGGCTGGGTCTCCCAAGATTGCCCTGACAACCGCTGCCTCGTGGTTCAGACTTTCGAGTCAGATGTTAGGGACAGGGTCCCCGAACAAAACTCTACATCGTCCCCATTCATTGGGGAAAAACTGGGTAAATGGAGCACTGTCCTCAAATGTGGAGGCTTTCCGACTTTCTGACCCTATACGAGTGACTGCCAATGCAATTGAGCGAAACCCAGTTTCTTCTGAAGTGAGACCAAATCAGAGCATAAAAGGCCACCTGAAGGATTGCGAAGTGAAAGAAATTCCATCAACCCACCGATTACTCATAGCTTGAGTGTCTAGATGAATAGGTGCATACCTCACGGAGCTCAAGATAGCTCAGTAGTTAAGGCACCAGTTGACAGAAAGTTCGCGGTTCAAACGCGACCTCAGCATCTCGACTGCTCCTGTTTAGACTTTGGCAACCTGGTAGTATTACAGCTCTCGTGACTCCTTCTGTTGGCATGGCAGCTAGGTACCGAAAGGGTGCTGCAGCTGAACGATTCGATTCCATCTGCATACCTCGTAATTGAAAGCCATGAACAGTGAACTGGAAGATTCAAACACTAGTGTGACAGATCCTAGTGCACAACATGCAAACACTCAGAAAAAAGTGCTGAAATATAAACGTTTATTTACACTGATGAAGGTGAGAAAACGGTGAACTATGAATATCTTGAGGAAGCATCAAGTGGTTTGCGAGTGGCAGGTACAAAAAACTTAGCAGCCGCAACCTCATCAGAAGGAAGAAAGGTAGTTCGGCCAAAGGCACCTTTGTTAAAAAGCCGTAAAATGTGGTATGCTGCTCTTCTGAAATCAGGTCGAGGTGTGGAACTGGAACACATATTCAAGTCATCTAACGATTCCACCTCACAAGCTTCCCACCAACGTGATCTGGGAATCGGACGTTGCGACCCACTTCCAGAAGCGAAAAATGAGTTTCGGGCACAAACCCGAGAAAGCAGCTCGACTATGTTATCTGTCGGACCGGGCAACTCGAGGACTGACACGTACTCTGTCTTTTTACGATGATTCCACCAGAATAATAGATAATCCACGAGGAGTTCTGCAAAAGATTACAAAAAGTATATTAGAACCAACTGAATCCCAATGGTGGAAACATTAACACGATCCCGTACACAGACTAAGTAGCCGCATCAGCCTCGTAAAACCAGATTTGCAGCGATTTGTGTCAGCAAAGCCAGGAAGATTTAACAGGAATAAGGATTCAGCCTTAAACTCTGAGTACATGGCCTGTGGCTGCCGATTACGAACAGTTAAGATGCAAAACTGATCCTCTCACAGGAGTCACCTCATTCAGTAGTCTTCGGCTGGTTACTTGAGTGAAATGGTGGTTGAGACTAGAGGAAACACCTTCGGCCGCCTGAATAGTTTGAGGACGGACTTCGTTTTTCCGTCAAAAACAGTAAACACAGAGTAGGATGTGGACAAAATTGGTCTAAAACACAAGTCAATCAAATGGCGGAGGCATATATGGTACAAGTCACTTTGACCTGCAAATTGATGAGCTTTTGGGGTCGGTTGTCGTAGTCAAATTGCAAGTGATTCAGCTGTTTTGAGCGCACCTTGAGGAACGATGTGCTCGGCAAGCCTTGACCATAGCCATCGCACCATTGCTCAATTATGCGGCTTTACATGTAGTCAGCCGGCGCGTAAGGATGTCAGCTCTAGCGAATGTTTGCAGTCTGATCAGTAGCCCAGTGGTTTTACTTTATAATTCGGTCGTTTCAGAAAGAATTTCACTGGACAGCCATTTTCCACCACGGCTTTTGGGATAAAGATCAATTCGCAATTCGGTATGTCGTCAGTACACGTCCCGTGAAATCTGCCGGCCAGAAGCCTGATCGGGTTTCGTCTGTATTTCATAAATTTAACTACATATAACTGTACATACGCTTCGAGCAGAGCTTTTTAGTCCTTAAGTTCCGTTTAGGGAGTCTAGGGTAAGCAAAGGCGCCTACGGGGGCGATTTACATATACCCATTGAGGACTGAGCCGATACATCCTCGCCGTCAAAAGTACTGGACCTCTAAAAACGCCACTCATCCCTCGATGATGAGTGCTCACCGTGCTGAAGCAGCTCACCAAGTACACATCATTTCTAAACTGGAAACATTGTGTTCCCAGGGACGATGAGATCGCGCGCATTGGCAAGTTAGTTTGAAACCATCACTTGAAAATTCTGCGCAAAGAAATTCAAGTTTAAGTTCATCAACCTATCGAGGGCATCCAGAACTTAGAGCATGCAGTGCTAAAACAACACATAGGTATCCGCGTGTTTTAGGCACGGACGGGTTCTATCGACAATAAATCAGACAACCTTGACAACGCTATTAATAACGAAATTCAAACACTGCGGAGATGAGGAAACGCTGTCGAACTCCACTTCAAAAAGGGAAAGTGATGGTCTCTAGCCACAAGCCCAGATTTATTCGGGTTACTAAATCCACCTGATATTCCGCTTGTAGATGGAAAGTCTCATAAATATTGTGACCAAAGCAACCTTGGAAGTTGAATGCGACAGAATAGCTGGTCTTCTTCAACAGTGGTCACAATAACCGACATATCCAAGCCCTAAGCAGAAATTATCACGTTCTTTACGGGTCGATTGTTCCATGATAGGGTGGGTAGAGTATAATAGCTACAGACTGTTAGCCGAAACGTCAATCGGGTCAATACTATGCCGTGAGTCCTTTCCGAATCCGGCGATGATGGTAGCGACGCCATAGTCAATCAGTATTTCTTTCAAAGTTCACGTGTTACCTCCACAGCATGGCTTTTTTGTACACTGGTGCTTTGAATAGTGCTGATAATAATTCATCCGATGGAGGCGTGAGAACCGATTGGCGAGGTTACTTTTCGTTAAACAAGGGGAGCCCATTGTCCGCAAACAATGAAAGGTGACACAAAGACAAAGGGAATAAAATGAAACTCAAGTTGAATTGAGATAGCCATTGACCCAGCCTCATAACAAGTAGAAAGAAAATAAGTTAGAGAAGACAGAGATGACAAGGTTCTCGGAGAAAGATAAGATCACTTCTGTGACGTGAAGCTTTAACTTGTTAGGGTGACTGGATAAGCAAGGATGTCTTGCCCGAATGAAAGACGTAGGCAGAGACAGGAAAAGCAGACACCGATTAATAATGTTGGGGGTGGCAACGGCAGAATAGGGCAAGAAACGCTATATCCCGACGGTGGGAAAGCGTTTTCAGATTGTTACTCAATGAAAGAGTATTGCTAAATGGGATTAAGGAGAGAAATATAGGAGGTAACCGCACTCCAAACATGGAAGCGGTGCTCTCGGATGGAGGGAATTATCATTTTGAACATGGATGAATTAGTTGCGTGCCTTCCCAGATGCTCGCACCACCGGAAACTTGATGTATGAGGATTAGGAGGATGAAGGTCAGGTAACGGGAATCTCACCAAAAGATTGAAGTCGAGAATGGTATTACAAAGGGATATGGGCATATGGAAGGACTGGAAAAGATTGAAAGTTGCTGACTTCCAAACAACCCTGGTCCAGCATGATGGAAAAGTCAGTATTCAAGAAAGTAATGACCTGTGCTGTGTCCAACCAGAGCCCGAAAGTCGCGGAGCGATGGTAGCAGCAGGACAACAAGAAGTGCATGGTTGCGTCCTTTCTAAAGGAATACAAGACGTAAGCGATGAGGAGTGGGGAAGAACGCAGACCCTCGGGGAACCCTAACGCTGGTTTTCCAGGTCTGAGAGATAATACCATCCATTCGTAATTGCAAAGAACGGGTATACAGGAAACTTTCAACCCAAGTGATCAATTCTGAAGTTTGCCCGTATATGGGAATTTCGACACTAAAATGCACACTCCAAACCCAGTCAGACATCTTCGGTAAATTCAGGGCGACCACATTCGTTTCACCAAGAGAGTCCAGAAAGGAAGATCAAACGTTCAACATGTAGGCCAACACATCGCTAATACAACGGTGGTATGTGACCCAAGAGAACGTTACCTTCAAGACCACAGATTTGCATGGTGAAAATCAATTAAAGGACTTTGGACAAGATGGGTGTGATGGAGATTGGCGAGTGTTTGTTTGAGTTAGCGCAAGAGTCACATTTCGGTATACGAACGACCAATGAGCTGAAGTGAAAACACCAATGTATAAGGAAAAACGAAGGAGCTTTGAAATGATTGGCTCAAGTTTGGGGCATAATTAGAGAGAACACAATGGAGAGAATTTCATCAGCACAGGTCTGAGAGATAATACCATCCATTCGTAATTGCAAAGAACGGGTATACAGGAAACTTTCAACCCAAGTGATCAATTCTGAAGTTTGCCCGTATATGGGAATTTCGACACTAAAATGCACACTCCAAACCCAGTCAGACATCTTCGGTAAATTCAGGGCGACCACATTCGTTTCACCAAGAGAGTCCAGAAAGGAAGATCAAACGTTCAACATGTAGGCCAACACATCGCTAATACAACGGTGGTATGTGACCCAAGAGAACGTTACCTTCAAGACCACAGATTTGCATGGTGAAAATCAATTAAAGGACTTTGGACAAGATGGGTGTGATGGAGATTGGCGAGTGTTTGTTTGAGTTAGCGCAAGAGTCACATTTCGGTATACGAACGACCAATGAGCTGAAGTGAAAACACCAATGTATAAGGAAAAACGAAGGAGCTTTGAAATGATTGGCTCAAGTTTGGGGCATAATTAGAGAGAACACAATGGAGAGAATTTCATCAGCAACCAGGTAGTGAGTTTGCGTTTTTTTTTTTTGAAAAAAGCGAACACAGCTCATAGTAATAAGCGGCAAGGGCGACTAGAAGGGGTCGGTGAAGCGACAGGCGCGGAAAGTGGAGCAAAGAAGCCTGTTTTCTCTAACGACAGAGAATTAGGGAATCTAGATGAATTGATTACGGAAGAGAACGACGGGCAACTGCTTTAGTATAGACTGACTTCTGGATTACATCTCGTGCAATAAAAATATCTCCAACTCTGTCGATCATAGGCAAGCAGGTAGACAGCGCGTGCCAGGGACTATCTGCACCTACGCATGATTAAACCGTTCGGACGGTGACTCCTCGCCGGGTTTGAAAAATGTATGGATTAACGTGTGCTGCTAGCAGGAACCAAAAGATTCTCCAAAAGACAAGACCCCCAAGAATCGTTGCCAAAAATTGATGCATGACATTCCAATCAGCGGAATAACATCATCAGAATATAGGACGAGGGGAAATTGAACCTTGAAAGAGAAAGCGAGTGGGACAAGGCAATGATCCAAAGCGCCAAGAAAGACAAGAAAATACAGCATAATTGACAGATACTTAGCGGAAAGGAGATCAAAAGTTTCCGCATCATAACAGTCGCGGTCAGGAGCTCGTGTTGGGAAGTAGACGGGTAAGGAGAGCAATTTGGTGATGGAAAAGGATTCGATCTCACGGCTCATAGGAGCTGTGGGGAAAGGAAAAGAGAGTCGTTCACTATTGTGGACAATGAAGTAGTCGAGTGTAAATTTCCACAGTGGCGTCGGGCTAAAGTATTTTCGATGACTGGCGTTCAATAAGAAGAGGATGTACCACCACACAGCAAGAATACCTGAGGTATCGGGTGGAGGTCAAATGCAAACCAAAATCGTCAAAAATCGTCAACACAATAAATTACCCCAGGAAGATGAGAAACGCATAGGGAAGCATATGTACAAGTGCACATCCCAACATTAAGCGGAAGCAATATTGTGGACAATGAAGTAGTCGAGTGTAAATTTCCACAGTGGCGTCGGGCTAAAGTATTTTCGATGACTGGCGTTCAATAAGAAGAGGATGTACCACCACACAGCAAGAATACCTGAGGTATCGGGTGGAGGTCAAATGCAAACCAAAATCGTCAAAAATCGTCAACACAATAAATCACCCCAGGAAGATGAGAAACGCATAGGGAAGCATATGTACAAGTGCACATCCCAACATTAAAGCGGAAGCAATGGAAAGGTGCATAAAGTGATCATCCCCAATATGAACTTGGTCAGTCCTTCTGGGAGGAAGGACGTCATTAAGGAAGGTACGTCGAAATCCTGTTTTCATGTGGCAAAAGAATGGACATTGAGTCAGACATTTAATTTTTTATATGTTCCACATTTTATCATACATCATATCACCATATAGTAAGACTGTTGATTAGGCGGTTCTTGATTCATCGTAAATGTCCCAGGTCCACCATTAAAACAACACGGTTTCTACATATACTATGCAAAACACCATAAATCATATTGTTACTTGTTTGATCCTGTTTAAAGTACTAGCCTCAGACAGTAAAAGTGGGATGCTACTAGGGAAACGAACGCCGAATTGGTCTGCAGAATCTCATTCCGCGATTTCTTCTTGGCCCTAAAACCAGTTTGTTTTGCGTTCCGTTCACTGCTTCGTTATATTTTGGGCTATTTAATTGGCCGCCATCAGATTTATCGCCTAGAAAACATTCAAAATCATCAGAAAACAAAATCAGTGTTTACACTGATGCTACACTGTCGACACTGCCCGACTGAAGTGCTTATGGCGCAACCAAATACACGTTTTCTTGATACCTCGTTGCGAACTCGTTTTCTCGCAAACATACAACAGCACAGCCCTTAGTATGGCCTCTGATATGCCTACGACCAAGCGGACTTTTTGATAAGCCACTGTCGGTCTATTGGTCAATTGTCGCACGCCTGTATTCGAACTCAACCCAACAGTAGGAAGATTGGTTTTCAATCCGTCGTCATGTACGCCAACAAGTACATTAACTACATTGACTAGATTGATCATTTGTAAACTGTTTGGCCTAACAGGGTCGCAAGTATTTCTGGAGGTAGTGAAATAAAGTGCACAGCTATATGTTGGTTCATAACTCTATGCAAATTCACGGCAAATACTCACGTATATTTCGCCGATTCGCACTTTCCAGCGAATAATGGACTTACCCTGACTAACCAGACCCCAATCAACGGCACCGCAAACACATAAGCTCAGCTGCTCCGACAAACTTCGGATTTTCGGTTCCAGAATGCCTGGCGTATCTAACATCACAATGCGAAAGTCTGAAGACTGGACCGAATCATCCAACCATTCCAACCGATTTGAAACGGTGCCTGGAGCCCCACGACTTATCACAACTGGTTGCCCAACAGAACGGGTCTGACCAGCCATTCGTCCCACACGCGCCGCTCCACCAGGTCCGCCACGACCAACAGATCTCAATGCGTTGATAAGCGTGCTTTTTCCACTGTTTGGAATGCCGACAGCCATAGTAGAGATGGTGGATTGCGATGATGATTCTGCAGACTGCAATGACTGGTTACCATCAAATTCATTGTTAGACGTTGTTGGGATGGCCACAGTTTGAGCCAGCTGCGGTAGGCTAGAAAAACCATGAAGTTGACAAAGGCATAAAAGTACAAAAGGTGCAGATAATCTCAAACATACAAAGTGCGTCCTCTGGGGCTGAAGGTGTAAGAAAGTCTGCATAACCAGACCCCTCTACTACGGACGCACGGTTGTTGGTGTCCCTCTGAAGCATGACTCTTTTAAATACGCTCATATTTACCTGCTGGGCCCCAAACAATCGGCCGAAACTACCATCGGTTCTCAATACACCCAATGCTTAGAGCGCAAATTTACTGGTCGGAAGGTCCGTGTTTCGAACCCGACCTATGCCTCTCGACTTCCCCTGTCTAGGCTTGGCCAACCAGCCCTCATGCTTCCTTCGGGTGGCATGGCAGCTAGGCACTGAAAGGGTGTTACAGCTGAACGATTATTATGATTAGTACACTCAAACAAGCTGGAGCAACCATACATAGGCGCCCAAAACCGACTTTCCAGAATGAACACCACTGAACCGGTCCAAGTACAACGGGCAAGAACAGCCATCGAATTCATGTGTCCCAACTGTAACTATTATGAAATATCTATGTTCCATAAAGCCGAGGCGGTAAGGAGGACTATTGCTTACTTCAAAGTGATCAGAAGGTGCTAAGACAACATATCGAGCGCGTTTTAAAAGAAACTGAAGACTACCACGGAGTAACTTTGAAATCTCTGAGTCCTGTCTTTGTTCTCCAGTATTCCTCAAGTCTTGAAACGAAGCTTGAGTGGTTCACAATTACGAACGCGACACAGCCCAAGGCATAAGACGAAAGCTTCATGGTTTCAATAAAACCCAGGCTTTACATTGCGCTCATGTGGGCCTGAGCACCCTCGCATTTGCACAGATTATATCTCCCCTCTAGTTGCACGGCATCTGTGCACCAAGAGAGTAATACAACTAGAATAACTATGAGGAGAATTTCACAAAATGAGTGAAACTTCCATCTGAGAAGAACCAGTCAAAGAACCAAGTAACCATGTGGTGTGGCTTCGTTATTGAGGGGTGAGTGGCGTTGTGTCCGGTCTAAGTGAGAGCTGCGCGCTCATGGTCGAACGGTTAAGTGTTCAACCAGTGACCAGAAGGTGATGAGTTCGCACCGCGTTTTGTTAGGTGCGCACTGCTTATTACTCCCAATAAGGATGAAACAGTTTTACACTGCTTCCCGGCCTTTCGCGTAATCTGTGCACCAAGAGAGTAATACAACTAGAATAACTATGAGGAGAATTTCACAAAATGAGTGAAACTTCCATCTGAGAAGAACCAGTCAAAGAACCAAGTAACCATGTGGTGTGGCTTCGTTATTGAGGGGTGAGTGGCGTTGTGTCCGGTCTAAGTGAGAGCTGCGCGCTCATGGTCGAACGGTTAAGTGTTCAACCAGTGACCAGAAGGTGATGAGTTCGCACCGCGTTTTGTTAGGTGCGCACTGCTTATTACTCCCAATAAGGATGAAACAGTTTTACACTGCTTCCCGGCTCTTTCGCGTAGATAAGCGTCACTGAAAGGACGAAGTCTCTATCAAAAATTACCAAATCTCCTCACGATCACCAATGTACGGTTAGACTGTGTAAGTAATTGGGTCATTCATACTTACCTACCTCCTAAGTACACGTCTAAGCAGTTGTGTCTGGCGCTCCGGGCAGTTTAACTGAGTGAAGTAAATTTCAGCTAGATTGTGATTGAGGGTCGTTGAATGTTTGAATATCTCCGCGCGGAAGGCGTTCACATCAGTAACCTCCTCTGCTAGGTCTACCTTGTTCAGCAGCAAAATGTGCGGACGAATCTGTTCAAGAAAAAGAAAAATGCAGAAGCGACTTAAATTACGTCAACAACCAGAATAACAGCAAAACTTGTAAAGAACGCGTTTAGCACGATAAAAATAAAAACAGGCGAACAGATTCGTTTGAGCTCAAGATGGCTCAGTGATTACTTACTGATCGCAAGATCTGTGTTTCGAACCAACCTCAGCATCTCGACTCCTCGTGTCTGAGCTTGGAGAACTTGGCATTATCTCAGCCATCGTGCTTCTTCAGTTGCCATGGCAACAGACCGGCACATCGAGCCTTGGATTAACATCACGAGTCCGAAAAGGCCATCCATCCTTCCCAGAAAGCTGCTCAGGCGGGTAGGGCCGACTTGTTCACTCCGTAGCTTACTCTGCTAGGCCACCCGCTCGGCTTGAAAGGTTGCACGGATTACTGGTCAGAAATGGCCGCAAATGTTGATGATTATTCTCAACTCTTCCGGATGGTCCATCAGCTGTAGGCCAGGTTAACGAAATCATCGGAAGGGACTTTACCTTACCGTGATGTGACGGCCTGCGTCTCCATCACCTCATTGAGCCATATTAGGGGGTTTCCGTGCGACGCTAAGTCTCACATTAGGTTGGTCAATGGTCAGAGGTCTGGACATTACTTCCTGGCCCTCAAGCTGAGGATTAGGAACATATGTGGCGACTTGTTTTTTTAAAAAATGCCCTGGTATTCCCCCCCCCCCCCTCCAACACCGCTGCCTTGCTATCAGGCTTCTGAGCCACGGGGTACTACGGACGCATCCGTTTCGTCCCATTCAAGAACCCCATCAATAACACGGCCCTCATCATCAAGGGAGGGGACCTAGTGCTGGCCTATGTCAAGCATACTGAGGTGCCTACACCTCCAACCGCTCAATCAGACAATCTAGGAAAAAACTGACAGCACGAACGCCACTGACATCGATTAGCCGCCATTTCTTGCAACGTCTCCAGCCAAGCACAGACGGGGTCAAGGGAACTTCATCCTGGAAGGCGCACAACACCGACAACACACAAGCTCTTCGTGATCTCTTTCGCGCCTTTCTGTCAACTCATGTGCTGTCCACCTCGCAGTTTGTGCCATCCAGAAGGAGGCACGGAGAACAACACTCATCTCGGTAGACGTTGTTTCAGCATGCGTAGCGCATGACCGAGCCATCGTAGTGGATGATGCTGGATGTTTTCCCGGATTGAGGTGCATGCAGTACAACCAAATACCCGTTTTCTAATCACCTCGTTACTAAAACGCTGACGTCATCCATTACCAGCCACGCTTCTGAGGCATCGAAAACCTGAAGACGCCTCACATCAACTACCAGCGGAAGTCATGTCTTGCACCCATGCAACAACACAGCCCTTACTGTAGCCTGGTACACACGACCCTTAAGATACAGTGAGATGCACTTTTGACGCCACGAGTGACGCAAACTAGCAAACATGATTTGAGCCTTTGAGATGCTTGCACTGACTTCATCAGACACACTTCCGTCAGAGCTAATACAACTACCGAGGTCTGTAAAGTTTTCCCCAATCTCCAGTGATTCTTCTTGAATTGTAAGGGATATGATCGCAGACGGCACGTTCTGAAGCATGACTTTGCACTTTGAAGGTACAAGGCGCATGCCAAAAGATGGAATCGTGGTCAGTTTATTCAACAGAGCTTGTGTTTTGCTTTGGTCTGGGTGACGTCATCTGCGTACTCCAAATCGACAAGGCTCTCACCAGCAACAATTTGAACACCGGGGTTTTGAAAACCGTCCAGTGTTATTTCATCAATGACGAAGTTGAACAAGAATGGGGAGAGTGGACATCCTCGTCTGACACCACTTTTTGTAGGAAAGCTTATCGACCTCACCATACACTCTCACCCGCCCAGAAGTATGTGAATATAGGGATCGGATTATGTTTACAAACTCCTGGGACATACCCTGTTGAGCAAGTGTAGTTAACAGAACTGATCGATCAACAGAATCGAACGCACCCTTGAAGTCAAGGAATACCAGGATTGTAGGTCGTCTGTACATATGACGTCGCTCTAACACCCGACGGAGTGTGAAGATGTGGTCAACGTAGCCTCTACCTGGTCGAAATCCCACTTGATTCTCATCAGTCAAGGCTTCGCGTGCCACCGTAAGACGACGAGAAATCAGTGACACCAGAAGCCTTGTTACAGCAGGCGTCAAACTAACACCTTTGTGGTTATTACATTCATTGAGTGTCCTTTTTGAAAATGAGCACTACTGTAGATTCACTTCAGTTTTCTGGGACGGTCTAATTCTTCCAGATAGACCCAAATAGGCTAGACAGGCACTGGCTGAGGAATCCACCGCCATCTTTGAAAAGAGCAGGTGGATGGCTGTCAGGACCAGCAGCACGATGACGCTTGAGTAGAGAAATACATTCGGACACTTCTAAGACTGAAGGCAGCTTCATATTTACGGTCCATCTTTCTGTTGAAGGCCAGGTTTCTGGACTGGAAATAGAAGGTGGCTAGCTGAATTGCTGTTAGAAGTACTGTGCCCAGCGGTCCGAACGTTCTGCTTGGCCGCATACCAGGGAGCCATTTTTGTCCCTGATTATTTCTCTGACAAGAGGTTTCCGAGGACTGGTCGAAAGAATCAAGTGGAACAGTTTGCACACGTTTCTAGCATTGTTTGCATCTTCCATTTCTTCGGCCCGTCAGGTCCACCAAGCTCCTCGATCTGCGCGGACACTCATTTTCACCTGGCGTCGGGTGATGCGCCGGGTGGAGTTGTGGTGGTGGCCAGGTGGAATCTGTCGCCAGCTCTCCAGCAAAGGTACGGTCCTATCAGAGATCCAATGCTTGGATGAGGTTGACTGTGTTGTACCGCAAGCAGACGCTCCTGCTTTGACTAGAGCTTTTGTCAGGACACACCCAGACATGGAAAAAGTACATGTGCAGAGAGTGACGCATCCCCAAGGTCACCATCGGTACGACACGTCCAGAAAGCAGCTGCGTTGGTGGAGCTCACCAAACACGGCTTAGCAACATACGACCAGCGTATTGGTCCTGAGATTGTTCAAGACCGGAAAATTGCCACTGGCTGTACGGAGCGAACAAGTGAACGACCATATTTGGCCAATTAGTCATCCTATATATTTACGCAGACGCTCTGTATGTTTTGTGCTGACAATAAAGCCGTGTCCCGAGCTCTCTGTTTTCTCTATATCGCGTAGTCTGGCAGGCTCAGTGCAGGCGTAACCCATAGACGGTCACCCACGATACAACAGCTTTGGATATTTTTTCTCAGTGGCCGTTTATATCCGACACCGTACCCTCCGGCAGGCATTCGAGGAGCTGGTTCTGACAGTTTGGTTTGACTTCTGGGTCCACTGGCTTCTCAGTCGCTAAGCGAGGTGAGCGCGATTTATGTACACCTGGAAAGCGCAATGAAAAGCAGCAGC